CTGCTGCTGCACCTCCACTTTCTTCAACTCAGACGGAGCCGAGGAGCTGCTGGTGGCCTCTTGAATGGGGAGGATGAGCTTTGCTGCTACTGCTGGGCCCCACCTAGGCTACACCTGCCGCTGCCTCTGAAACTCCACCTTCACCACAGGGTAAAGCAGCATCGGAGTGGTCCGTGCTGGGGGGAAGCAGCAGTGGTGGTGGAGCACTCCGTGGGGGGGGAAGCATCAGCAGCAGTGGAGCGCCAACCCATGGCTGAATGGAATACGATGGCCTCCTTGAACTTACCATTTTGCCACATGTCAGAGCAAAGCCTTTCCCACTAACAATAACTAAGACAGGTGTTCCCGTTTTAAAGTAACCCCACAAAACCCCCACCCTTCCCCCCCAAAACACAAGCTGCACACCTCCTAAGCTGACACTTAATCAGAAGGTTGCCCAGACCCTACCCAGAGGTGAGCGGCCGAGTTTTGCCATACCCAGAGCTTCAGGAATGGATGAGAACTACCTTTTAAATGAAGGTGGGGGAGGGGAGGGGAAATTCTTTGGACCATAGCTTTTTTCATGCTAGTGTTCCCTCAGATTTTAATCCCATGAAGGTGTTTGGTTATTTTATTAAGCCATTGGTGGTAGCCTTCATAGTGCTGTTTAATAATTTTACGTGGTTGGCTCCCATCCCCTCACTCCCCCGTCACTTCTGCTGAGGTACATCTTGGTTCATGTTTATTCATGTTTATCCTGCCTTTATAAATAACTCAAGCCTAGTACTCTTTCCTCGACCTATTTTCCCCAGCGCAATGACAATCCTGTGAGATGAAGTTTGGTTGTGAGGGAGAGATTGACCTCAAGTTGTTCAGAGTGACTGAAAGTTCATGCCTAAAGCGGGACTAGAACTCACAATCTTCCTGTTTCTAACCTAGTGCTTAACCAACAATCCAAATTGCCTTTCATGTTGTCACCTTGTGGCTCTCTTGTTGAAATTCGAGCAATGGAAGTGTTTCTTTATTATTCCTCTGAACAGATCAGCTTAAAAGAGAAGAACTCTTGATTGTGAGACCATTTTAATCTTTCCAATTAGGATTATTACAATTATTTTGAGTTGGAAGTACTTACCACTTACCTTCTTCCATCCTTAGCAATACTGAAATGGCTAATAGTTTTGCTGTTTTTATTGTTCTCATAGTCAGATCCAGGAAGGTTTAAATGATCTCAATTATGTCTTTAGTGGTATCCTTCCCAAAGTAATGATGGGTATATCACACTTGTCTTTTTGACTGCACTGTAAAAGTTCAAATCTATATTTTTATGATATAAAGTCATGAAATCCTAATTTACTTTGGGAAATATTGCCCTCAAATTTACTACCCAAACATGCATATTTCTACACATGAGGATAAATAAAATGGATTCTGTGATTTAGCATCCATTGCACAAAAATGTATAATCCAATATATATCCACACAACAAAGCTTTATATTTTTCCCCCACAGGAACTTTAAAGTCCATAGAAGTCAGCTCTTTAGTCAAAGATGTATTCATAATGAATCACCATAGTACAAAAATGTTATTTTCTACTATACCAGCAGATAGTTACCAGAAAAGACACTGCTGGGGTACGGAGAACCAGTTATTCTCCCCCTGCTCAATAAAAGAGGAACACCCACTTACCCAGCATGTAATTAACCTGTGGAACTTCTTGCCACAAGATGTAGTGATGGCATCTAGCCTACATGGACAAATTTCTAGAGGAAAAGTCCATCACGGGTTACTACTTCCTTATTATAAATGTAGGCCACTGTGAGATACAGGAGCTGGGCTAGGTGGGCCATTGGCCTGATCCAGAGGGCTCTTATGTTCTTATGTTCCTATGTTCCAGCCACTCATACAGCCAGCCAGCACTCTACACTGCACAACACAGGCTGAGGGAAGCAGCACAGAAGGTGACATCAGTGAGGAAGAAGTTGGTGTGTGTGCTATGTGAGAGGACAGGACAAACATGGCACTCATTGTATTGGGATTGTCAGGGGAAATTTGTGTTGGCTGCTGTCCATAAGAACCAACCTGGGCTCTTGCTACTGGGAAAATGAGAGCTTGTATGGATGATGAAGGTCTGCACTCCTCCTGTGTATGGGAACTGTGTGCTACACATTCTATAACCTGCGTGAAACACTTGAGAAGATAGAAGGGATGACAAAGGACAACACAGTTAGTTCTGAAAATGAAATCGTTGAAGAGTGGAATTCTCTGTCAAATAATTTTAAGTCAATGAAAGCACTTGGGATTGCTTTCCTTATTTTATCATCTTATGCTTGTGAGCAGTTGTTTTCAGCTTTGAATTATATCAAATCTGACATCAGAAACAGACTAACATATGACCTGAGTGCTGCATATGTTGCTCTCAAACTTACAAAGTATGAGCCAAGGTTAGACAAATTATCAGCATGCATACAACAACAAAATCACATTAATTGTTCAAAAGCATGCCAAATGCAAACTTTTAACTTTCAATAAAAAGTTGTTTGTATCATTGAAAGTTCTGTTATTGTGTTTTTCTTTTAAGACAAAAAATGTTAATGTAAACCCTAACCCTAACATAAACTCTAACCCTAACTCTAAAACCTCAGTATTCAGGTTAAATTTATCAGGTTATGATAAATAAGTGAGTTTTGGATTGCAGTTTGGGCATTCAGTCTCTAAAAGGTTCACCATCACTGCTATGGGGCAATCAGACAACTAGACACAAAGACAGTTTTTCCCCCATGCTATCACTCTGAATTCACACAACATTGTCAGGGATATCAAACCACTAAGTAGGGCTGTATTACTTATTATCCTTCTCATCTGTCCTGTTACCTATTTCCTTAGATTCTTATGACTATAATTTGTTGCTGTATCTCATGATTTATATGGATTGCTTTAGTATCCTATGACTATCATTGAGTGCTGTATCTATTATTTATGACAATTGTATTTTATTATGATTATGATTAATACTTGTTGCTTGTATGTACACTGAGAGCTTATGCACCGAAGACAAATTCATTGTGTGTATCCAATCACACTTTGCCAATAAAGACTTCTATTCTATTCTATTCTATTCTATTCTATTCTATTCTATTCTATTCTATTCTATTCTATTCTATTCTACTCTACTCTATTTTTAAAAGAAGACATACTAATGTCAAAGGATAAAAGTTTTTTTTCCATATTTAAAGTAGGCTTTAAAATATATGTACTGTACATCTCATTTGCAGTTATAAAAATATATACTGTTGTGAAAAAATCACTGCAATGGTCATATTTTAACATTTGTAGTGCATTATATAATCCAAGAGACAATAATCTACAATATCTCTAACTGAAAACTACTACAAAAAAAATATTTAGACATCAACTGTTTTAGATGCAAGATCTAAAAAGACCTATAAGGCAGGAAATATTTGATAACAACACTTCACAAAAAATATTGAGAGCTGGAGGGAGGAGACATTCTACACTTGTTGCAACTTAATCTTAGTGAATTATTTATCACCTCTATACCCATCTAATTTCATAGTATTTATTCCTAAGTGAGAATAAATCAGATTCAGGCTATGAAACCATTTAGCTTTCATCTTAATACAAATACAGCAAACTGTGATTTTGATTATGACCTAGCAAAGTCACATTTATCCACAAATATTAACACATAGGATATTCTGATCATTTGCTTTTTAACAGTTTTTCAGAACAATAAAATTTTAAAGATAAGGATACTCAGTAAAGTTTAGTGGGGAAGCTACTAATGGGCACCTGTCTTCTCCAGTGTATTAAAAATCTAGTATACATTCAAATCTCAGTTACAATTTAATACAAACACAGAACTGAAATGTTTTCCATTAACTTCAGTGTAAACTAATGCTCTTCCTTATCCATATCATTTATCTTTTATTATCTGATTTTGTTTTTTAAAAAGACTGTTCAATAATTACTTTTGTGCAAGACACACTTTGTCAGTAGTCTGATAGGTAAACATTTTTCTTTATTACTAGCCTAACTGATGAAGGAATAAAAGCCATAATGAAAAAGAGGAATGCAGTAATTAGCTATCCTGAATAATAACTTTTTGCCTCAAAACTTTAACATTCTGAATGAATTTGGGAAGGAATATCAAAGGAGTAAAGATTAAGAATGACCCCCAGTCTACCCGCTTTTCATGGGACTTAGTTTATCATCTGTTATGAGAGCATGAAATGTTAAATGGAAAGTACAAATCACAGAAGGTGATAAATCTATTACCTAAAGATACAAGCTAAAACTTCAAGATGTAGAAACATATTTTTAATAGGCAAAGAGTGTGGAGACATTTAAAGCATTTTTTTCATCTGTTTGTAATTGGAAGTTAGTTGTATAACAATCACTAACATCTGTGCCCAGGGATCACTTAACTTTTTAAACTGTATATTATGCCTGATCAAGAATTCCAAAGTTGCAATTATAGTGTTCTGTCATTTTTACTACATTATAGTTGGGAACAAAGCCAATGTCTTGTCTGCACACTTCTATCACTATAAAAAAATAACATGTCAAAAAATTATTTTCAATTTTTGTGAGAGAAAAAGACATAACTTTTAATCCTTCCTACCATGTCCTACCCTCTGCATGCTATTAAGTCTAAGAAAGTTAGAATACATTTTTTTAAATTTCTTGTACAGTTTTTAGGATTGAGCCAGAGCAGCACAAAGATACAATGTAGCAAAAAATGATTCAATCCATTTTATTCAGAAGGCATTTTGGAATATGCATCTTTTGTTAACTATAAATTCTTTCTTCCTCTCTCCTTCTCTCCCTACCACCTTCAATTTCTCAAAACCAAATTACAAATTATATAATCAACTTTTATCTATGAACTTTCTTGCAGCAATGTTAAATGTAATGGAAAATGTAATGGAAAATAAGAGCTAGTAAAACTTTTCTCACATGTCTTTAAAAAATGAAGATATTGTAAGTTTTAAGTACTTACGATAAGAAGGGTCCATATAACCATTCCTGGGATCCATGGCAAAAACTGTCCCACGATAAGGTACTGAAGGCTCAGGAAGGTGTGATACAGATCCATGGATCTCTTTTTTGATTAAAGAAGCCCTTTCTTCACTAGATGTGGAAGGTTCTTCACTGATTTTACTGAGGCCTTGTCCACTTTGTGGCTGCATTGTAATTGCGTTTCTTCTCTCTCTGTGATAGGTTTGTCTAGGACTTTCATCCTCTAGGGAGCAAAAGAGAAATTGGGAGAGAAGCAAATGAAACTTTTAGCCCAACTATGGCATTCAATCAAAGTTTTCTTTACAAGTTTTCCCAGCCCTCTAGGATGATATATGCTGTCTTTAAAGAAGTAGGTACATGTATGGTTATGAAAGAAGTTTCCTAAACAAAACTTATGAGAAGAAGGGGCAAAGAAACTAAACCATTAAATGCAAATTGGATTTGTGCTGGACAGCATCTTCAACCCATTCCTTAATGAATTTACCAGAGAGGCCATTAATCATACAGAAATGCTGACTGGTTCCCCCACACCACATTTCTGGGACAAGAGGGCTTAGAAGTTTTGAAAAAAAAAACAATTTGTCACAAATCACAGGAGACCCCTGCTAGCAGAAACTATATCAAACTTAGCTACCCACTGTGCTTTATACTTCCCAGCATGGTCCTTCACATCCAAAAAGAGAGAGTGTTGGAAAGAGAAAGCTCCTTGCCATTAAGGAAAAATATACTTATTAAATAAAAAAATTGAAGTACTTCTAATAAACATGCATTGAACATATGAGACCATGAGGCAGAAAAGTCACAAGGTCAGAATTTTCTACTTGAAAAGTTATCTCAGTATGTACCTCAACACAGACCATAAAACATGGTTGGCAAGTGTATAGATCCAATCCAATCAATATTTTTTTCTATAAGTACAGTAGTCTATATTCTCAAATATCATATCCTTGTTAGTACATTCAAAAAAGAGAACGCACTTGACAAAGTTTACAAATTAGCACTAGAATTCACAGCAGAATGGTTCTGAAAAATCCAAGTAGAACTCAATTAGAAATTGGGGCATATTTTTTCCCAGCTAAGAGAAGCAAACTGCTTGCCATATTCTATTTCTCTTTCAGTGGCACCACATCTCATTGAGACACTTAAACAAAATTACTGTAATACAGGTGGCTTGTTTTCATTCTGACATTTAAAAATGCTAGTAACCTCTCTAAAATGCTTCTTAAATATCTGCAATGAAGATTTTGTCTTTAACGAAAGGCAATTTCCATATCATATAAATGAAAATACATTTGAAGCATTTTAGGTACTCATCTAAAATATAAATAAGCAAAATTATTTATAAACATAATCTATCAAATCTGGGGATTACAGTTGCCTACAGTCCCTAGATCAGTGAATATCCATAACCAACAGATGTTTACATAAGTTTCATATACTGTTACTACTATATAATGTGTGAAATTACCTATGTCCCATTTATTTATTGTAAATAAGGAAGATCAACCTATTAAATTCAAATATATAAATACGTCTACTTATTGTTTAATAGTTATAAAATACATTAAGAAAAAAATTAGGCACTATTAATGAAACAATGTAACAATTAGATGAGTAAAACATTATTGAAAGTTGGAGAGAATATAATTTGTGTCATAATTTGGAAAAAAAAAACTACCATAGGGATTTTTACTTTTTAAAAAGTTTTAATAGGTTTAAAACCATTTCAGATGTATGATATATTTGGAATACCTAATGTAAACTTTGAAACATTTGAAGCTTTGATGTTACATTAATTAATTAATTAATTAATTAATTAATTAATTAATTATAGTAGTAAAGTTGGAAGGGACCTTGGAGGTCATCTAGTCCAACCCCCTGCTTAGGCAGGAAACCCTATACCATTTCAGACAAATGGCTGTCCAGTCTCTTCTTGAAAAATTAAAATTAAAATAAGCATTTCTTCATTTGCCAAATGCCATTAATTTTCAAGATTAATTCTCTTGGATTGAAAAGCTGGTCCTGTAAAGTACAAATGAAGGCAAATAAATCCAAGACTTTTCTCTTTATTTGATATATCCAAGAACCTTTTGGTGAATAATAAAATTGCAATGAAATATCCAACATGCTTAGAAATAAAACAGACTACCATTAACTCTATTCTCTAATTTAACCACTTTTTCATAATGTATCCTTGCAGCTTTCCCCAAATTTTCACAAGCAAGATCTATTTTCCTTTGGAGGTGGAGAAAAACAGGGAGAATTTTATAATATTCGGAAAGTTTCAGATAATCAAGCAAAATTAGGTTAAAATGCTGTGCTAAGTGATCTTGTGTTTAACTTATAAATGCTAGAAAGGTTATGGAGTCATGTTTAACCCCTATTCAATTTACCCCATAATATAATATTCAGGTAAACCATTACTTTGTACTGATCATCCTACCGAAACAACTAACATTTACTAAGAACTGTAGGCGTGAAGTTCATTTCAAAATAAACTGCATGAGATGGTTGATTTTATTTATTATAGATACATTAAAATTTTCAAAGGTTTCACCTTCTTTTCTTCCTGTGACTGGATCTCAACTACTTAACCAAAAGATTTTATACAGAAGTGCTATACAACTTGAAGCTTCTACAGTCTAATGGGGTAAAGGGGAAGGGAACAGAGTATTTGATGATTCCAAAAACATGAAGAAACTCAAATCTCTCTTTCTTTCATAGAAATGGAAAACTGCTGGCCAAAATAATCATTTTTCCTGCCCTTTTGTGGTTTTTTTGTATTAATTAAGATGGGTTAATCTTTAGTAAGAGTTCATTTTATGTCCTGCACTGCAAGAACTTCTTTTCAAAGGGGCAGATGAAAACTTTGACAGTGCACGCACTCCAGAATACAAATAGCCAAGTGGTTTGAAATAGCACTCTCTACACTGAAAGGAAAACTTTTGGGTTAATAATTCTACCAGCTCTTATAACTGCAGTAAAACCACTTCAGTGAGCCAAACAGTGAAAGCTGCCTAATCTTGTTCTGTTTCAGCTGAATTGTTCAATAAAATTTAAGAGTCTCTGCAGACAAGCTGTGCCAGGCCAAATTATTGACAGAAACACACAGTCCACCATGGCAACAAGTGGAGGTCTATAGCAAAAATGTAAGCAAACAAGCTCCTTCTCCAACAGCATCTGCTAATTGAATCTTAAAGCCAGAATTGTTACAGCTTGTCTATGTTTAAAGTGCTGCATCTTCTGCCACCAACAGAAAGTGTCTGTTTTGCTACCCTCTACCAAAGGGAGAAAAAATAGTAAACCAAATGCCAACTGAATGCCACATTAGTTTCAGTCATAACTGTTTCATACATTTCTTCAATTTTATTGTAGCACCAGAAACAGAATGCATTTCCAACATTCCATGTGTTCATTCTATTTGCAAGGACTAAACTGAAGAACATTCAATCATTTAAAACTTTCTAATTCCAAATAGCACAAAACATATATTGGAAAGGGACACTTTTTCCTCCAATACAAATGGCTTGAAACAAGAATATACTGAGCATGTGCAAAGTGTTTTCTACAAACCTAATCTCTGAATCTAGGGCAAGTCTTCCATATCAGAACTGTAGATTCCAGATATATTGGAGCATTAACATTTCTCATTTTTCAAGCTATGCTTTTTATGACAAAATATACCAGGACACAGTCTTTCCAATATATGTCTTGATTGTATGCAATGATATAAACAGAACCAAAGATAGAATTTATTTAGCTATATTTATCGCCAAAAGTCTTTTCCCATCAAAACATATGATTATAAATATTCATGTTGATCAGATCACTTTTAAATATAGAAAAACACATGCATACAAATAATGGGTATGTTCACATGTTAAACTTAATTCAGTGAACTTTTCTCCTTTTTTCAGTGGCTATAACAATACAAAAGACAAATGAAATACAGTTTTTTTTAACTTAAAAAGGATCTTCATATGTTTAGTTGAAAGAGAAAAGTATTAAATTTTAAATTGCATTTGTCTTTATTGTTATTATGTTGCAAGCAATTAAGGAGAATCTATTAGTTGTGATTCTTGTAGGACACCAAAAATATTAAAGTTAGGCAAGGTACTTACAACTCAATTGAAAGTCTCTTTCTTTGCTTTCTGGAAGCTCTTCTCTTCACTGAAATTTTCTAGCTAGTGCTTTCGTAGCTCTCTCACTTTCTGCCTCTAGTTCCCCCCCCCCTCTCTCTCCCTCCCTCCCTCTCTCCCTCCTTCTCTCACAGAGGGTGTGCTTCTCCCATCAGAGGAATTAAAATTGGTTGGTGCCATGCTAAATTTAACAAGCTCATTGGTATTCTTCTGGTGTGCTTGGTAGTGAACTCTCCCTATTCAAGCAGCTCTCTCAAGCCAAAGGGTCAGGCAGCTAATCACTAAATCAAACTAATGTCACCCTATCACAATCGGCTAAGAGAAGGAGGGTTTATTATTTCAGTTTATGCTAAATAAACGGTTATACTAATGGTGTTCAAGCAAGGTCAACAGCATCTTCAATTATAACACAAACTTAACACAAGTTGTTCTAAACCAAAGTGCTCTGTATTGACATAAGCATGAGCTATGCTCTGCAGATTGCCACCGACAGGCTTGTATCGGAATGAATATTGTACATTTCTCCTTCGTTGTCATCTTCTTTTTAAGCAAAGGGTAATCTTTTCTTTGCCAGAATTGGTGACTTGCTAGAGACTGCTCATTCACCTCTCCCCAACCAGCAAGCTGCTCAGCTCAATTCACCTCACACAAAGGCTGAAGACTAGACCTCAATGGACCGAGTGAAACATGTTCAAAACTAGGCTCTCTATTGTGACTGAAATTCTTAACATCTTTTCAAAAAGCGGAGAATGCCTTGAGGCTAAAGGAAGAAACAGGCTAATTGTGAATTGGGAATACTGAGCAAATTTCAGAGCCCCTTCCTCCTAGCTTTTGAGGTTGAAAGCAAGCTCTATCCTTTCATGTTTCAAAGTCCTTTTTCCTCCCACAGTGTCACAGAAGGATTTGAAAAGAAGGTAATTGTGCTCACAGTCTCCCTGATCAGAGCTTACGTCCTATTTCTGGTATTCTGGAATACTTCTTGCAATAATGGTGCATGTAGCCCAATCCCTTAACCAGGCTGCACTCAGCAATTGCTCATTAAATGAACAATTGCTGGTATAAAATGCCTTTTATGTTCAAGGTC